ATAGTATATAGAGAGATATAGATATAGAATAGCTTGGATAATTGTACTGCTGATTTCTGCTGATTTATTGAAAGGAGCAGTTTATATTTGGTAACCTAAGTAACTAATTTGAAGATAGTACTATGTAATACATCAGCCACTATTGAACTGCTATTATTTTGTTTGGTGAAATACTGTTTCATTTCTAATATTTTTTTCTTTTACCATTTTGTATTCTCTTTTAAAAACTAAAAAAATGATCTAAACCTAGGGGGCTTGGATGTACCTGAGGCAGGGGTAATAGCACAGGTACAAATCTGTCAGCAGTGGTCTTCCATAGTTACCTTTACACTCACAGCCAATGAAAATCAACTGTCACTGCTTGCTAAGTGACAGAAAGGATATAATGGTTAAACAACCTTTGTGTTGTTTACAAAGGTTAGGTGTTGTTACCTAACCTTCATAAATTTCAGCTTCTTCGTAAAGAGATAAAATTACATTTATCTCATTGAACTACCGAGTATAAGACAATGTACATAAAATATTTAACATGTTCACTCTAAAAGTATATCTTTTCTCTTAATTTCTTATGCATTTCTCTTTTTCTTTCTTCCAATTTTATATGCACATATCTGGTAATATGAATAACTGGTTGGAAGACAACACTATACTACAACAAATATTGTGAAATTCTCATTACTTTGTTAAGCAAAATTCAGTATCACTTGTAATGTTTTAATTCTAATCTGTACTCTTTAAAACATTAAAATAAAGAAGATATTCAGAAAAAAGATTAGTGTAAATGTCTAGATGTCAACAAATCTGCACTTAGCAAGGGTACAACAGCAGGGGTCACACATCAATGAAAAAGTAGATAGTCTGTTCCATGTTGATAAGAGATTAAAACACCAGATAGCACTCACTGTTTACAGAGGAAAATTAGTGTACCTGCGATGAAGAAGCAGTGTTTCTAAAGCTTTCCCTTACTTTTAAAGCCAGAAATCCAATTATAGTCCCAACTTTTTTTTTTTTTTTTCTTTTTTTTTTTTTGGCAGAACCGGTGATTGAACTCAGGCCCTTGCATTTGCTGGACAAGTGCTTATTCTACTAAGCCATCCCCTGACCCTTCAACTTTTAAAATCTGACAACTACTTTATAATTTACCGATTTTTCAAACTTTAAAAAATGAGGATTTTTCCCCCCTAGCTCAGCAGTATTATCAATTTTCTATTCCACTACAATATTTTTCAAGCTTTTAAGAACTTGTAAAACTAGCAGCTTTTATGCCTCTTCTCTCTCCCTAATTATCTTCTGGGGCATGCATGCATGCTTTCTTCTTCCTCCTCATCCCTTTTTAATCATCTGAAATTAAGTTGCAGTGATATCTCACTTCATTTTACCAGTAAATACCCGTATCTCTTAAGAGCATGTATCTTTTATTTTATTTATTTTTTCCCCAAAATTTTATTGATAAACAGAAATGAGACAGTTGCAAATCAAATTGGTAGGACAGTTTCAATAATTAACATACTGCATACATTCTTCCTAGTGGTTAATTGCTGTACAAGAATCATTCTATTCATTAAGAGAATGTAACTATATATCTATCCAAACCACTTTGAATACACAGATACAATCATCTGTATACCCTTTTTTTGTTAAGTTCCGTTATTTGAGTATTGAGCATGTATCTTTTAAACTGGGTGTGTTGTTACATACCTATAATCCCAGCACTTCAGGAGGCTGAGCTAGGAAGAATGCAAAATTCAAGTTCCACCAGGGCCATTTAATGAGACCTTGTCTTAAATAAAAAGGGCTGGGGATATAGCTCAGTGTGAAGACCCTGTTAATCCCTAGAAAACTCAAGAATCATGATAACCAGTATAGCAACAACAGAAGATCCTAACAATTTTACAATATAGTATCACCTAATATACAGGAATATACTAAAATTTTTTCATCTGACTGAACAGGTTTTTTTAATAAATTACTATCACTACTGCTGCTGCTAATTCTACTACTACTGTACTACACTTTGGATCCAGGGCCAAACAAAGGGCCATATCCTGCACTCAGGGTTATTTCCTTAGTCTTCTTTAACATCCCTACCCTTTTTGTTCTTAACCTATCAACATTTTCATACCATTTCAAATTTTCAGAAAGCTGCATGAATAGAATTAAAAAATGCTTTTCCCCTTTCTCATTCTCCCACACAAACAGTATGCTGTAAAGAGAAAATTCAGTGTGACACAATGTCATCTAATTTACAGTCATATCCATTTCATCTACATACATAAAAATGTCTTTTACACCACTCCCTTTTCGCTGCTACTCTATGGATCCAAATTAAGCTCATGCACTGATGTCAGCTGCCTATTTTCCTTCAGTCCAGAACAGATCTTCAGTTTTACTGTTTCTTCTGAAAATCCTGATGTTTAAATATATTTCATGTTCGTTATTTTGAAGAGTCCTCAATTTGGGTTTCATCTAAACTATGGGGAATCATCAGGTTTAAGTTACGCACCTTGGGCAGAAACAAGCTCTACTTTTTTCCAGTCCACTGGTCAACATTACAGATCTTAACTCTAATCCCTTGATTAAAGTGGTATCTGCTAGCGTTTTACTACACAGTTATCATTTTCCCTTTACAATTAGATAGACTTCGTAAACATCCTATCCCCCAAATTTCCCATTCATGGATGACGTTTTCCTAGGTCAATAATATGTGTGGTGGCTGCCCAATGTTGACTTTCTAATGCTGCCGTTCCTCCCATATCATAACATTCCTCTCAGTGCTATTTTGTTTTCAAATGGCTAGGATTCTTTAGTATCACTTGATTTCCCAAACTAATTTGTTTTTAAAGAGGCCATCCTGTGAGTAGTCACGGTGTACTGGTCAATCTTCACTGTAGATCTGACAAGATTAAGACTGTTTGGACAGGTGCTTGGACTCTGAAGGCAGCAGCCTCAGCGATAGGAGGTTCACCCAGCCAGGCATTCACAGCTGAACAGGCTCTTGGGAGTGAGGCCAAGCTGGAGGGAGGGCGTCAGGAGAGCAGGACCTCGGGCACTGCAGCTGCTTCTCGGCCTTCCTCTCTGCCTTGCTTCCTGGGCGCCACGATCTGAGCAGCTGCCCCTTGCTATGCCCTTCTGCCATCAAGCTTTTGCCCTGGAGCCAGCCCAACAGACTGAAAGCTCTATGAATCCCCCCCAAATTTTCCTCACTTAAATTTGGGTGTCAGCTATTCTGTCCCAGAGATGGGAAAGCGATCTAATAGAAATGAATTCTGAACATCAGTCTGTGATTCTGCGAATCTTAGATGTACTGCCTACCTGGAAAGACAGAGGACATGAGGAATTACCAGTAATATACCAGGTAGCCAACATCAAAAGGAAGAGATGCATAGTTTTTTGATACTGAGGCACATATACATAATCAAAAGTGGCAGAAAAATTAAAAATAGTCCACTTGGCTTTAGAGAACAAGAATATATTTTATGTAACTCCACTTGAATTCAGCATGGTGTGTCAATTTTCTTCAGAACAATAAAAATGCTTCTGTTTCTAAAGTTGCTTCCCATAAAACTTCCATCTAAGATATAGTCACAAAATCTCACCTTAATGACAAAAAATAAAATCCTCCAAAAGGCTCCCTTAAATATAGGAAAGAGAAATCTAGAATTCCTGAATTAAAAAACACGTAGTTTTCTAAATGAAATTTCAAAGCTAGATGAATAGCTGATATTACATTACAAATCTCTCAATTCACAGGACTTAAAGCCGGGGGAGGGGGTGACCCACACCTGTAATCCCAGCATTTTGGAGGCTGAGGCAGGAGCCCTGTGAGCTTGAGAACAAGCCAGGCTACATACTGAGTTCAACTCGGGGAGGCTTTAAAAACATACAGTAATATTTACATATGGCAGCTTATTCATCTTTCTAAGCTTTACTACTTTAAACAGTAACTAGAATTAGGGTTTATCATGATATAAACCATTGATCTGCAAAAATGAGAATAACCATGTAAGCAATTACTGGAAACTTGCTAGAACTAAAAGGAAGCATTGTTGCGCTTAGGCCTTACAGGCTTTTCAGTTTGCCACAATTCAATTTCCCCCTAAATAAGCAAGTGTTATGTGGGATAATGTAACTCATTACAAGCTTTAAGCCAATATATTCTAAATGAATTTTAAGGAATGGAATTTCTTCCAAACATGACTATTGGCTAAAACACAAGATGACTTTAAAAGTTTTCAAACAAGATCAAGTCAAGAAAACTAAACCAACACATTACTGATTAAGTTTTAGAATTTTTAAAAAAATGCATAAATCTGTGTCTTGGCCTAATTAAAAAGCTAATGTAATAATCTACATATCAGTACTAAATAATGCAATTATGCATACTTTTTTCCTCAAGAAATTTTCAGGAAAACGTCAATGAAATCTGGAACATGGATCTCCAACAACCCTCTTCTTAATTAAGAAAAAACAAAACACAACACTGACAAAATCATCAAGCCAACTTCTTCAGAATTCTGGAAATTAACCAAAGAGTGAGTATTTACTTAGGAATATAAAAGCTCTCCTTTGTTCCTGCCAATCTAGCCAGCAACATATGTGCAAAGGGCTGTGTGTACACCAAAAACAAAAAGCGGCAGAATCTTAAGGCTTCACCTATATCTGAACAGAGACTGCGCCTTGGGAAGTAAGGCTACCTGCCTGGCTAAGCGGGGAGGCCCTAATCAGGGGCTGGGAATTTAATGGGGGCAGCCATCTAAGGAAGTCTGTGCAATTACTAACAACTAAACTAGCCAGGCAGAGACCTCAGTGACAGAAGGATTGTTTTTTTTTTTTTTGACGGTCTCAAGACGGCTGCACTGTATTTCTGGTTTTGAGTATCTAGGTTCGAACCAAAGCATCTTGAGCCTAACTGCTATGGTGAAGCAGGCACTTAAGCAACTGAGCTAATGGGCAGGCCCCCCTCAGTGACAATACAAAACATAAACATATATGTATAACAAATATAGAAATCATTCAGAAAGTTCAGTAAATAAACAGTTAAGACAAATACTAACAAACTATGGGAGTGGGGGGAAAAATCTGCTTTCCTGAGTTGCTACAACCTGTTAAGTTCAAATATCCAGGTTTCAACAAAAACTATAAGCCAGTCCTAGTCCAGGCCCAGTGAGTGTGTGGGAGAGCTTCCCGCTACCCTGCGTTGGCGGGACAGACTACTCGTCCCAGCCCAGGTGCAGGGTGGGTGAGACCCTCTTCCAGCCCCTTGGAATGCCCCCCACCACTTTGCAGCACCTCCCCCACCCCGCCTGCCGAGTAGGAATTTCTGCCGCGTTCCGGGAACCCCCAGACCCAGTCCTAGCCCAGGTCCGGATCCTTGTTCCTTTACTCAAGAGTTGCTGGTTCTTATGGTTGTATGAATTCTCCTGTCTCTAAAACTGTAAGTCTAATAAATCTCTGTGCATAATTATAAAAAAACCCAAAAACTATAAAACACATTTTAAAAAGTATGACCCAAACCATGGAAAAAACAGCAGTCAACAGAAGCTGCCCCTGAGGAGACAGACATGTTAAGAAGTTAACTGACAGAGGTTAAACCAGTTATTAAAACTTCTCTGGCTGGTGCTGGGTTTGAACCCAGAGCACTGTATATGCTGGGCAAGTGCTCTATCACTGAGCTACATCCTCATCCCCAAATCAGCTATCTCAGATATTTTCAAAGTTTATTTAAAATTCTGGCTTCAAGTTGTATTAAGGAGCTGGGTGCGCTGATATATTCCTCTAGTCCCAGCTGCCCAGGAAGCAGAAAGATCACTTAAACTCAAGTCCAACAGTTTGGGATCCTAGTACGAGCAACAGGACTTTCCTTAAACAAAAATTTAAAACTATATTACTGCATGCCCTTCTGCACACTTCAGGTCTCATTCCACCATGACTACTGGTTTATTTGAGCTTATTGTAACAAATGTAACTTCCTAAAAGTCTCTGCCAATATGCCACATACTCAATGTTTTAAAAATGCAATTCTACCATGATCAAACATATCAAATCAAATACTTAGAATCCGTGAAGAAAATTTTACCTAAAATCATTTTATTTATACCAATAGGAAAACAAAACATTCAAGAAATATGGGTACTTGATGTGGCAAGTCAAATGTTTTACATTTAATTAAAAGTACGTATCGCTAGGGGTGATGGCACAAGCCTATAATCCCAGACTTGGGAGGTGGAGGCAGAAGGATCACCATGAGTTTAAGACTAGCCTGGGCTATATAGTGAGACCCTATCTCAAAAACAAACAAAATAAAAACCACATATAAATTAAACTAAGAAAATCCCATTAAAAAACCAAAGCTTTATTTATTAATGTATTTCCATGAGAATGAGAGATAATTTCATGGATGGATTAAAACTATGAAATCACATACTCACAAATAAAAATGTAAAATCTTCATAGTAAAATCTATCTTCATGTGAAATTTAAATTATTGAACTATCTTTTACTTTGTTATTTTCTTGGTCATAATTTTATAAAACACAAAACTAAAATCCTAACCTCTGTGATACTTCAAATGGTGTAAGACAAAATGTCTTAAACTTCTGATTTAAAAATTATGACAATATGCGCACTACTATCATCCAACAAACCCCGAGTGATGATAAAACCACAAAATACCTGAAATCTAAAAAATGAGAAGTACAAACCTGCATCTCTCCTTTTTCATCAGGCTTAGCTGGTTTGGCAGCCTCTGTAGCTGAATTCTTCAGGCTCTCTTTGCTGCAGCGTAAAAGTACTTCTACAACATATAAAGGATCCAGTTCACCAGAATTAGGCTGAAATGACAGAATAAAGGCAATTCACCAATTTTTTAACAGTGGCCCACAAATTTTAAGTTCCATGTCCTAGGACCTATTTTCTTAGCATTTAGCCTACTATATACTGTACAACACATGCTTTTACAATAGCATGTACTTCAGCCAGAGTACATAGCAAGAACTGAACATTAAAAGTAAATACAATAGTCTGACCACTATCCAACTGTAATATAAAATGTCACCTCTAAATTTCTAATATTTAGCTTATCCTATTATCCAGTATTAGAAAAAGAAACCAGAAGAAATTTGTCAGTGTCAGAAAATGAGCATGTCTCCAAGTCAGCCTAATTCAACATGCAAAACATTTTTATGGCTTAGTATACTGGTATTTTGTGAATTCCCATCCTTTTATTAAGATTTTTATTTCTCTAATAGCATGGTTCTTTTTTTTTTTAATTTTATTTATTTGTGTGTGTGTGTGTGTGTGTGTGTGTGTGTG